TCCATTCTGGCAATCGTTACCAACTAAGTACCTTCACTACAGGTAAGAATAGTGGGTATTGCTAGCGAGTCGTCACTCGTGCTATAGGGGGGTTGTGCTGAAAGTCTTGCTGAAAGTTTTCTAGTTTGTGATCCTCCATAATTTCTTTATAGTCTTATGGACTATAGGAAAGGGAAACGATCTGTTATGGAATTGAAAATTGCATCAAACTTGGCAGCGATCATCGTAACGCCAACCGGATGATCGTTACACCACGATATCTTTTCTAGAGATCACAATCTTAATGCCCACTGGATCAGTATATGAAACAGCTTCGCATGAGAAACAGCACATAACAGGTTATGGTGTCAGATACCATATAAGTTCTATTCAATCACCTTCACCTGGAATTGAACTGATATCTTTTGATCTGATCTGTGGAGTGTTAACCACTACACTATAGACCTATAGGTCTCAATTTAGTAATATATATTTGACAAGATAATATAATTTATTAAAGCAATATAATTTGTCAAAATAATATAATTCAGTAAAATCAAAATATATATAGTATATATATTTTGTGCAAAAAATAAATTATTTATTTTATTGTCAAAATATCAACTTCTTCAAAATAAGATTTAAAAAAAGTGTATTATTTATATGTCAAATAAATTATACATCATTTTATAGCTAAAGATAAAGGTTATATAAATTTGATTAATCAAATTATATACTTTTTTAATAAATAATTGACAAGTGATATTATACTGAATAAATTAATTTCGATTAGTGATAGATCTTGTATTTAATTTTTTCTAGTAAAAAGAAATGTATATCATACTATTTATATTGTAAATTTTATAATTGCAAGTTTAAAATTATAATAATAAAACAAAGCATGATAGTCATTTGCTCTTTAAAAAAAAAAAGACTTTAAAAAATACAATAATTTAAAAAATAATATAATTAAGAAAAATAATTATAATAATAATATAAAAGAAAAAAGAATATAAAAAAAAATTTATAAAAATAACCATTACAAATAAAACTTTAAAAAGTATTAAACTAATATTGATTTAATATTGAAATAATATCAATTTAAAGTAAATTTAAATATTAAATTAATATCAGAGTGATATTAAAATAATATTATTAGAAACTCTACTAATTAGATTAGTAAAAAGCATATTTTGCTATTTAGAATCAATATTAGTTAAAATAGAAATAAACCAAATTATTAAAAAAAAAATTAGTTAATAAATAAGCTTAACTATTTTATTTTATTTTTTTTAATTAAATAAAAATAAATTTATAAGTCTTTTTTTTTTTTTTAAGGGCTAAGGTGTGATACATGCGCGGATTAATAAATTTATAAGTCTTATTATTTATAACTAATATTTTATTTTAATAAAAATTTAAAAAATTTATTTATTTAATTTGAAAATAAAAAAATATTTCAAAAATTAAGTAATTATTTTTTCTAAAATTTTGAATCTTAAAAATATATTATATATATATAGTATATTTTAATATATATATTTTTTTAATAAAATATTTTTGCTTTTAATTTTATAGATAGATTTTTTTTTTAAAAAAAACAAGTAATAATATTATTACTGTAAAATAGTATATAAACTTTAATATAAAGAAATAATAATTAAATTACTGTATATATTAATATATTAAGCTATTTTTTAACAATTTACTATTATTTTTTTTGTAAAAATCAAAAAAAATTTTTTTATATAGGTTCTATTCTTTATATCTCTAAATATACACATACAGTATATTTTATCTTTTATTTATTAAATTCAAAAATAAAATGCGTTAAACTGTACATTAACCAAATTTACAACCATTTATTAACCGGATACACGTAAAAACAGGTTGACCCAGCACTACTGCCAAAGTTGGCGTAACTGTGGATAGAAAAAATATAGCAATAGTCGTTTGACCCATTGGTATTCGCAAGCACAACTAGTACACCAATTGGCACAGATTCCAAAGCCCCAGTTTAACGAGTGAAATTATTATGATGGTTACGTGCCTGAATTCAAAACATCAAGAACTGTTTATCTCGCGCATTCATTATAAAAATATTATCCGTGGTTAAATTTGCCATACTCGAAATATTAAAAAGTGGTTTTTTCGAATTATGCTTGCAATGTTATACACTTCTTTACTATGCACTGACAATATTGGGGTAGTGTTATGTCATTTGTGAACATTCACGTGCGTTTATGTGACCGCAAACAAATCAAAAAAGGTTATATTTTTTGTTGAGTTGCCGAATTTATAACAGGTCCTGTGAAGATTCAAGAAATTTTGAACTTGAACTTTACAAGTTCTTTGAAATCAATTTTCTCGAGTGTTTTCAAAATTCTAGTAACATACCTTAGCACTGTCTTCCGTAAAAGTCATCCAAAAAGATACAAGGGCTTAAATCTTGTGCAGAGCAAAACCGCAGATTATCTTCTTTCGCTTCGAGTTTTGGATCCGGCTCAAAGTTATCGTTTAACAACTTTTTGTCGAAGGCAATTATTTCTATCAGAGAAAAAGGAAGAGCTAATCAAAAGAGTCTTCTTTATTCTCTTTAACTAACTATTTTAAATCCTTCTTAATTATTAAAACCTTGATTTGATTTTTTATTTTATTTATTTATTTTATTTTATTTTTTTGGTATAAATATATATTAATTTTTTTATTGCCCATCATGGATTCCCTTAACTTGTTCTAAATGGAGCAAACACTATTTCTATTATTGATTAATTTCTTCCCTAGTTCCAAGAGAACTTCAGTAAACTGGTTTCTTTGGTACCATAACCTATTCCTTTTATCATTTCCAAGTCTTCTCGGGGTCGAGAAGAAGAATTGGAAAAGGCCACATTGCATATATTCACAGCACAAGAAGTCAATTTTTACATACTTTGCATTTACGAAACGTTCCTTATTAAACGGTTGGTAATTGGATGCCCTTT